CACCTAGCCTCAAGGTTTCGGCAGAGACTGTGGCCAGCATCTGGTCCTCTTAACTATATTTGAAGTTTTCTCACAAGGAGAACTTTTTGGTGTCTTCTGGACACCTAGAAGGAGGATTTGGGAGACAGGGCTCATGCAGGTACAGGACCACTGTCTGCAGGCCATCATGCAGAATGCTGAAGCACTAGCAGCCAGTGCTGTCAGTGGCTTGAAGGCAAACTTGCTTAAAACCAAATTATTGCTAGTGAGAGGCTTGTGTGTGTGTCCCTAAGAAAGCTGAACTTTTGTGTTTCCATTTGCTGGAAGCTATAACATTTGTTCCTAGGTCACCAGACATTCATACACATGAGACAGGCATCTGAGTCGGGGTAGAGAAGTTCCAAGCATCACAGCCTAGCAGACTAGGGGGTGTCTGTGGAGGACAAGTTGGTGCTGGGTATCATTCCAAAAGGGGTCACAAGGAAGCTGTCAGCAGCTGTGGCCTGGGGGTGGGCATGGGGTCAGAGAGAGGGATATGTGAGTAGAGGTGTACCTAGGGGTGAGGGTGGGAGGGAGACCAATTAAGCAAATACACTGAGGATAAGAGAACTGGGGTTCTCTTTGCTGGAGAAAGGAGTTACAGACTGGGAAAGAGGAAAAACAGAATGAACACTGCAGTGGTGAACCAGAATTAAAGATATTAGAACAAATACAGTTTCAATGTATACAGATATATAAAAATAGATGTGTGTACATATACATATCACCCACAATACTCCTCAGCTCTGTGTCCTGTGTCTGGAAGTAGCGACACCCTGAGAACAATAAGCACATACAGGACCAAGATCTACTCTAAATGTAGCCAGGGCTCCTTGGAGAAGTAGCTGATGCCAGTTGGGTCAGAGAAAACAGAAAATAGGAGCCTGGCAAATGTAATGGCCACCAGTAAGGAAGTGCTCAAAGGATGATGCAGATGGGTCAGAAGGACAAGAAGCCAGCTTGAAGGGGCTCCCACTAGTCAAATGTGGGACAATTGAGCATCAAAGTAAATGATGATGATACCTGACTCTGAAAAAACAGGTCTCTGAATCCATCCTGATACAAAATAAATGATTAAACAAAAAAGTTAATGAGGAATGGAGTCTTTACATCGTCTCAGAGCTTCCGATAGAATACCTATTACAAAGAAAAAGGGAAAACTTTAAAAAGAAGTCTGGCCAGGTATGGTGGCACACACCTATAATCCCAGCTACTTGGGAGGCTGAGGCAGAAGGACTGCAAGTTCAAGGTCAGCCTCAGCAACTTAGTACGACCCTGTCTCAAATTAATAAAAAGGACTGGGGATGTAGCCCAGTGGTAGAGCACTTGCCTAGCATATGCAAAGCCCTGGATTCAATTACCAGTAAAGTATGTGCGTGCGCGTGCGCACACACACACACACACACACACACAGAAATGAAAAGCAAATAAAAAGGAATTCTTCCAGTTTCCAGTTTAGATCTTGTGGTCTCTAGGGAAACAGTTAGGATGGAGGAAGGCAGATGTCTACATCTGGAATTGTGAGCAGGACATGAAGTAAATAATGGATAATTGTTTTGCTGCATCAACATTCCTGACTGACGGCTTTGAGCTGGAGCTAAGGACAGAATGGTGCAAAGCCTCTTACTTTTCTTGTGCTTTGGACAAGAGAGGAAGAAAATATTTTTTTCCTAGACTTGCCAATAGTACCCTTAAGCAATTAGTTTCAATTCTCAATTCCTTATCAGCTAATTTTGGATAGAATACAGTGGAAATATTTGGCATTCAATGGGTTACAGAAATAGCATTAGTGAATTCATTTAGAGAGCTCTTTCATTTATTCAGGCGACAACTGTACACCTTACTTTAGCCCAACTGTCATTTTGGGATTACATCAACTCTACATTGCAAAGCAGACAATATTAGCAGCGTATGATATTTCTCCACTATGTTAAAATTTTCATCTTCAGGTGACTGAAAGTACAAGATGCTGAACTTCATGTTCCTGTCCATCCCTATAAGGCTATGGAGGCTGCTATGATTTGGAAAGTGTCCCCCAAATGCTTTGTCCCCTGTGGTGCTACTGGGAGAGACGGGAGTTAGTTGGTAATCTTCTGGTCTTATGGAGGTGGGAGGGTGACCCTGAAAGGGATATTGAAATCTTGTCCCATCCTTTCTCTCTGCTTGCCAACTGCTATGAGGTGAGTGATTTCCTCTGACATATTCTCCCACCATGATGTGCTGCTTTGCCACAGGTCCAAAAGCAACAGGGCCAACTAAACATGAAATGAAACCTCTGAAGCTGTGAGACAAAATAATCCTTTCTTTTTCTTTTTTTTTTTTTTGGTATCAGGGATTAAACTCAGGGGCACTTGACCACTGAGCTACATCCCCAGCCCTATTTTGTATTTTTTTAGAGACAGGGTCTCACAGAGTTGCTTAGCACCTTGCTGTTGCTGAGGCTGGCTCTGAACCCTCGATCCTCCTACCTCAGCCTCCCGAGCCACTGGGATTACAGTCATGTGCCACTGTGCCTGGCTCCTTTCCTCTTCATAAGCTGTTTATCTCAGGTATTTTGTCACAGTGATGGAAAGCTGACTAACACAGAGGCTCAACTTCCCTCAGTGCTGGTTACTGAACTTCATGGATTACTCTTGTATACTGGACATCTATCTAAATGTCACAATATTAATCTAATCAAAACTAGATTAAGAATTGACTGGTTTAATTAACTTTTGAAATATTGGCTTTTTCTCCTTGAAAGGAATATTTATTCAAGAATGAGAGAAATTAGTCAAGAGTGCAACTCTGAGACAGGTGCAGTGGTGTATACCTGCAATCCCAGCAACTTGGGAGGCTGAGGTAGGAGGATTGTAAATTCAAGGCCAGCTTTAGCAATTTAGTGAGGACCTAAGCAACTCTGCAAGACCCTGTCTCAAAAATTTAAAAAAGTTAAAAGGGCTGGGGATGTAGCTCTCTGGTAAATTACCCCTGGGTTCAATTCTCAGTACCACACGCACACAAAAAAAGGGTGCGACTCTGATCACAGACTGAATGAGTGGAAATTCTAGACCCTCCCCTTTTACTAATTATGTGCTTTTGGGCAAGTACCATTCTTATTTCAAGTCTCCCTATCTGTATAATTTATGTAACTTCTAGAGTTATTAAACAAATTAGTATGCATATAGTGCTTAAAACACAGTAAAAAATAGCTATAATGGTAAATTGCATGTAATGTACACTTTACCCCACCACGAATACTTGAAATGTGGGGTTAAAAGAATATAATGTCCTTGTAGCATTTAAGGAAAACTTAAATGTAGGTTTAAAACTGAATTTCTTCATAGGTTACCTTACACAATTCTCAACAGTTCTCAGCAACTATGAGCAAACTATAATCACTGTTCCCAAATCAAAAAGGAAGAGCAAGGACAGAGAAAGGTTCAGTCACATGTGAGGATCATGCAGCTAAAGGCAAAGTCAAAATTCAGGCCCTATCATTGCTCTTAGCCACTGTACCTGTTAAGTACATGTCAACTTGCATTAAAATTGTGTTCAGAGAAAAAAAAATACTTTTTTGTATAATGTACACATTTCTATCAGCCCCAGGATATCTGAAATGCCATGCTTTAAGGTAACATACAAAATTCAAATAACTGACCTCAAGAGATGAACTCATTCTAAGAAATCAAGTGACAACCTTTCTGCAGTGAACTTTGGCTTCATTAACATATTCATCTTATTCTGTGATCTCTCTTATAAACTAACTTCAAATTAGAATTAAACTTGACCAAGTGATCAAGGTCAAGACCATCAGTGACAGGAAATATTGACAGCACGTACTCCCAAGGCACTGAAGAAGCATGGGATTCCTGCCAAAGAATATATAACCTCAGTCTAATCATGAGAAAACCACTTTGATGGGCATTCTACAAAATAGCTGAGCAGCTCTCATCCAATGTGTCAAAGTCATGGAGGGAAAAACTAAGGAACTGTCACAGATCAGAGGAGACATGGCTAAATGCAATATGGGATGCTGGGCAGGATCCTGGGCCCAAAGAGGTAAGTATTAGGTGGGTGTGATAGTCTGTGCCTATAATCCCAGTGACTCAAGAGGCTGAGTCAGGAGGATCACAAGTTTGAGGCTGATCTCAGCAATTTAGCAAGGTCCTAAGCAACTTAGCAAGACCCTGTCTCAAAAATAAATAGGGGTAGGGATGCAGCTTGTGGTAAAGTACTCCTGAGTTCAATCCCCTGTACCACAAAAAAAAAAAAAAAAAAAGAGTAACTATGAATGAAGTCTGTTTTTAGTTAAAGAGTATTTACTGTACCAAGGGTTAGTTCCTGGTTTCATTAATTATACTATGATTTCTAAAGGAAAGACATTAAAGGAAGCTAGGAAAAGAGTACACAATACCTCTTTGTATTATTTTTTCAACTTTTCTGTAAGTCTGTAAAAACTTCAAAACAAAAAATTTTTAAAAATTTTTTAATTAATATATTTATTTTATTTATTTATTTTTATGTGGTGCTGAGGATTGAATCCAGTGCCTTATGTGTATGAGGCAAGCGCTCTACCACTGAGCTACAAACCCAGCCCCTGATATATATTTTTAAAATAAAACAATCTGCAGTGGTAAAAGTCTTCCATGGGGATTATCTTGGAAGCTTAAAAAAGTAAAAAAAAAAAAATGTTATTATTCTACTTTTCTAATTCTGCCATCTTCCTTTTTTCTACACAAATGAAGGTCATAGTACCTCTTAGTTCCTAGAACACTGCTGCTTGTTACTTATTTGCAACAGTATTTCTCTAGTTAAAAACTGCAAAATAAATCCATGATGTACCAGAGACCAGCTACCCATAAGGCAGAAACAAACATACCCACCATCTGCTGCCAGAGATGTGATGAGTAAAACTGCCTACCACACACATAAGCCAGAACCTGAGGCTCATGCTTGTTGTGGTCCTGGATTCACACAGAAGTGTCTTTGAAATGGCCTACCTGTCTTTTCCTTGATCTCACAGAGCACACTGAAGAGGGCAGGCTTCATCCGATGGCAATTCAGAGCATGCTTTCTGAAAGATAGGTAACAGAGGTAAATGTGAGAATAAGAGAGTAGTCAGGTTGTCCATGAGAGCAAAGATTCTCCATACTGAGAAATCAAACCCATCCTGCCAGTTCTGACCACTAAAAACTCCTCTTGTGAAGATACTTGGCAAAAGCACTTCATATGAATTTGTTTTGTGCAATATTAAAATAAAGCAATGTATAGTTGGCTCTCTAGATCTGTGGTTTCTGCATCTGTAGATTAAACTAACTGAAGGTAGAAAATAGTTGAAAAAATATTTTCATTTGTAGCGAACATGTACAGACTTTGGCTTCAAAAATATAGTCATTTGGGCTGGGGATGTGGCTCAAGCAGTAGCGTGCTCGCCTGGCATGCGTGCGGCCCAGGTTTGATCCTCACCACCACATACAAACAAAGATGTTGTGTCTGCCTAAAACTAAAATAAATAAATAAATATTTAAAAAAATATATAGTCATTTTGTGACCTCTCGTAAACTGTCAGTATTCCCTAAATAATACATTTATTTACATAGTATTTATAATATATTAGGTATCATAAGTTATCAAGAGATGATTTAAAGTCTACAGGAGGATGTGTGTAGATTATATGCAGATACCACATATCATTTTACATAAAGTAATTGAACATCTGAAGGACAACTGTACAAATAGTCAAACATTCCCCTTTATAGGTAGATATTTAAACAATGCAAGTCTAAATATTCAACTCATTAAAAACTATGAAATTTCAAGGTCCAATGATTTGAAAAATGTATTTACACTATAAGCAGAAACATTAGCCATCCTACCCCAGTGTCATGACATTAGCTGAGCAGGTGTTTACTAAGTACCTACTATGTGCCACACCATTCCAATGTCACACAGACACAGGCAATTGAGTTTCTACTCATGTGACATTTATGATGGATGGGCTAAGGGCAAATACACAAACAAGAAATCCATCAGCTGTGGCAGGTACCTTGTGGTGACTTTAATTTGGGTCATGACAGAGTGATGGTTAGGTGGCTTATTGGAGTTTGTGTGTCTTTGAGGTGACATCAAATCTGAGATTGGAATGATATTAAGTCAACAAAGAAAAAAAGGCTGAAGAAAGATATAATTTAATGAGAAATTATAAGACAAAAAAGTGCAAAGGCCCTGTGAGAACTCCTGGCTATTTGAGGCCAGGGTAATGGGTGAGGGAGCGAGTTGTGAGGAAAGTTAAAGAGACAAGTAGGAGCTAACTCTTGTAAGTTGTGAGGACAAACCTAACTTTTGCTTGCCTGTGACAGAAACTCGTTGGCAGGATAATGGCCCCCAAAGATGTCCACATGCTAATCTTCCAGAACTCTGAATACGTTGCCTTCATGGAACAAATAACTCTGTAGATACGATTAAGGTTAAAAACCTTGGGAAGGGGAGAATGACCTGGATTACCCAGTGGGCCCAATGTATCAGATGAGCCCTTAAAGATGGAAAATCTTTCCTGGTTGTGGTTGGAGGAAGAGCTGTGATGATGTAAAGATCAGAGAGATGCTATGTTCCTGGCCCGGAACATGGAGAAAAGGACTCTGAGCCAAGGAATGCAGACAACGTCAATATGCTGAGAGCAATAAGGAAACAGATTCTCCCCAGTTTCCAGAAAGAAAATAGCCCTATGTTGATACTTTGATTTCAGCCCACTGAGTCCATATTGGACTTTTCATCCACAGAATATTTTAAGGTTCATCTAAGCATCTAAGTTGTAGCATGTATCAGTATTTCATTCCTTTTTATTCCATTATATTGGATGGAACACAGTTTGCCCATTCATCTCTCTCTCTCTCTCTCTCTCTCTCTCTCTCTTTTAGTACCTGGAATTGAACTCAGGGTCACTCAACCACTGAGCCACATCCCCAGCCTTATTTTGTATTTTATTTAGAGACAAGATCTCACTGAATTGCTGAGGCTGGCTTTGAACTCGCGATCCTCCAGTCACAGCCTCCAGAACCACTGGGATTATAAGTGTGCACCACAGCGCCTGGCCCATTCATCCATTTTTTAAAAATATTTTTTTAGTTGTAGATGAACACAATATCTTTATTTTTTATTTATTTATATGGTGCTGAGGATCAAACCCAGGACCCTATGCATGCAAGGCAAGTGCTCTACCACCGAGCTACAACCCCAGCACCCCCCATTCATCTCTTGATGGACATATGAGTTGTTCCCACTTTCCGTTTATTATGAGTAATGCTGCTATGAACCTACAGGTAAAAGGTTTTGTATACATACACAACTAGAAAGTCAAATCGTAGTAACTTCATGAGGAAATACCAAAACACTTTGCACAGTATTTATACCATTTTACATTCTCACTAACGGTGTATGAGGGTTCCAATTTATCAGTATCATCAATAATACTTGTTATTGTCTACTTTTTTATTATAGCCATCTAGTGGGTGTGAGGTAGTATCTCATTTTTATTATTATTTTTTTTAACATTTATTATGCCATGAATTCATAGGGAAAAGTTTCCAGCAGTTCAGGCTCCTTTCCATTTGTTCTCACAAAATGTGCTTCTCTGGGTGGGGCAGGCTGGCGCTTCAGCTAAACCCAGGTTCCTTTCTCTTTGGCTTCCTTCTTTTTCTGATCATTTTCCTTCACACGTTTCAGGAAGCTGTCTCGGCTCTTAGAGTGCTTAATATGCTCAATACACACATTAATTCTCTTGGCAAGAATCTTGCCCTTAACTTGCTTATTCACAACAATGCCAACAGCATGCTGGGTAACATTGTAGACTCTCCCAGTTTTGCCATAACATTTGTGGGGCATTCCTTTTTGAACAGTACCCATTCCCTTGATGTCTACAATATCACCCTTCTTGTAGATTCCCATATATGTGGCCAAAGGAACAACTCCATGTTTTCTAAAAGGCCTGTAGAACATATATTGGGTTCCTCTCCTCTTTCCCTTTGTGTTTGTCATTTTGGCGAATTACTGAAAGATGGCGGTTCTGGCCGAAAAGCTCTCATTATGTTTTTGATTTGCATTTCCCTGTCGACTAATGATGTTGAGCATCTTTTCAAGTGCTTATCAGCCATCTGTATATCTTCTTTGGAGAAATGTCTTTTCAATTCCTTATCCCCTCTCCCCAGTGTTTTTGAACCCAGGATCTCCTGCAAGCTAGCCAAATTCTGTATCATTAAACTACACCCCCAGCCCAATGTTTGAGTACATTTTTGTATGGTGTGAGGTAGGGCTCCAACTTCATTCTTTTCTTTCTTTCTTTCTTTCTTTTTGTGTGTGATGCTGGAGATGGAACCCAGGGCCTTGTGCATACCAGGTAAACGTTCTATCCCTGAGCTACATCCCCAGCCCCCCAAATTCATTCTTTTGCACAAGAATATCCAGTTGTCCCAGCACCAACTATTGAAGAGATTATTCTTTCCCCATTGAAGGTCTTGACACACTGGTCAAAAATCAATTTGCCACAGATGTTTGGGTTCATTTCTGTATTTTTAATTCTATTCTATTGATCAGTTTGCCTATTCTCAATTGAAATGCATTTTTACATATTTACTTACTTTTAATTTTAGTTTATTTACTTTTGAGACAGGGTCTTATTATATTGATCAGGCTAGCTTCAAATTCTTGTGCTCCAGTGATTCTCCCATCTCAGCCTCCTGGGTAGCTGGGTCTTTAGGTGTGGGCCACCAAGTCTGGCTAAAATGCATCTTAAAAAGATCACTGTGGTCACTCTTTGGAGATTAGAGTAAAGGAAGGCAAGAGTGGGACCAAAAATAATAGTCAGACGAGGCTATTATAGCCTGAGTAGGACAGAAATGCTGCTAGCTTAGATTTATGGTAGTACACATTAAAAAAAAATAGACCTTTTATTTTGGAAGTGGAGTCAAGAGGAATTTCCCATAAACTGGTATCAGGTTTTAGGGAAAAAGGAGATTTGGGGATAAAGACCAGTTTTAGGTCTGAGCAAGTGGATGGTGGGCCTATTAACCGTGATAGTGGAGACACTGTAGTGGTTCAGATTCAGGAGGAAGGTTTGGAAAGTAGAACTGTGTTTTGATCAGGTTAGGTCACATTTGAGATTCCTTGAGTTACTCAAGAGGAGGACTCAGATAGGTAGCTGGGTACATGGATGTGGACTCTACACTGGAAATATACAATATACAGTGAGGAGTTGCTAGCATAGCGATGGTACTTAAAACTCCAAGACTTACAGGAATCGCCACAGGAGAATGTGGATGGGGGGGATCGGGACCCAGCCCAGGAACAGGAACTTGACTTGTAAATATCAAGTAAAACAAACATCCACAAAGGAGACTGGGACCAAACTGGGGAACCAAGAAAAAGGATTTCAGGAGAGAGGAATAATCTTTGAGAAATGAGAGGCCAAGGGTGACTCATGGAGGGAGAAGGTTAGAGAGGAAATGGAGAGGAAGTAAAAGCAGCAACCACAAACTCTGTGACGTCTTATCATTGAAGGAGAGCAAAGAAGTACAGCAGGTGCTAAAAGAAATGGTGTATAAATAATGTTTTTTATATTCTATTTTTCATATGTGACAGCCTGAGAACGAGACTGCTCCTCCCGGTTAGCTACTCCCCAGAGATAATAACTGTGGTGAACACGCCTTGCCTTTCACATGCAAGCCAACCAATCCAAAGCTCACATCCCCAACCACCTCCTTTAACTCACACAGCAAGCCAATATTTCCCCTGTCCTGAATCACCCCAGGGCCAGGTCCTGGATGACTAGGGCCACCCCGATACCCAGAGCTTGCTGAAATTATTCACACTATCCAATTCCAAGCTTGCTCAAACTGGCCTACCCTGACTCGCCCATTTCTTCCTGTGGAAATCACTACAAAGTCTCTGAGCCATTCTTTCCCCTTGTTCCTTTTGCCTCCTGATTGAGCCAGAAGCTTCTCCACATGGCCTTGTGTGGCACGGTGTGCCCCTTCTTCTTGAACACTATAAGAAATTAACTCTTCTTTCAAAGGCAGCTGT